CGGCCCCTGTCTCCCACCCCCCCCCCCCGGAAAATTGGAAAGTCTACACCCTTGATTAATGTTGATGATGAAATAATTAAAATACCAATATTTGTTGGTAATAATTAAGAATGTTCTTTTGTTGGTAATACGTTGCAAGTGAGTATGAAAAGATCAGTTCCGCAGGAAGGTATGGCAGCCTACAACTTGCTTACACTGGGATCTTTTGTCTCTGGTACTAGTTGTGGTGTGTGTGTATACTACAGATTTGCAAGGAACTATGCAGGAAATAAAAATTAAACCCAAATGAAATGAAATGGTACAATGATGACCATACACCTCCTTAGTCTTTCTAAAAAAGAAAGTGAGAAGGTTTGGAAAGGATTATTTGGAAATGAAATTTCTATGAAAATGGTTTTTATTTTAGAAGTCTGTTGATGTAGCAAGTGAGGTGTGTGTGTGCATATATATATTTTTACCCCTGTCTTCCTGATGTGATTAGTACCGCAAGACACAAAAATCAGCAAAAGTGCCTGTTAAGTCGGTTACTTAACAAAGAGTCAGAGAGTGATTTCAGCAAAAGATCAGCTTTATTCGACAACTCGTAACTCAACTCCAAACACATTAACATGAATAGCCGGAACAGCTTTTACATTGAAGCTGTTCTACTTTTAAACTCTCCCGGCTAATGTAGCCACGCCCTATTATACAATATCAACCTATGAGGTTGCAGGGATAAGGTCCAATCACAATAGTTCCCGCTCTTGGAACTGGCTGTTGGTGATTGGTTGGTTCTTCCTGGGCTACCAATTACAAGTGAGGGATTAGGATCCTAGCCCAGGATGAAAGCTTCACATGGTGTTTCAATGACAAAAGTTCACATACATACTTTGGTCAGATTGAATACACCACAGTGCCCAGATTATACATTAAGGTGGAAGGGATGCCACCCTCCAGGTAGGACCTGGATATCCCCTGGAATTACAGCTCATCTCCAGACTACAGAGATCAGCCCCTCTGGAGGAAAGGGGTGCTTTGGAGGGTGTACCCTATGGCATCGTACCCCACTGAGGTCCCTGTCCTCCCCAGGCTCCAACCGTATCTTCAACCGTCTGCTGGTTGCCAGGAAGGACCTAGCAACCCTAGTGGTGTGAATAAGATATCACTTGGGGGAGGGGCTGTGCCAATGTAATATGTATTGCTATTAAGACCAGTTTGGATGGTCACCCTATAATGAGCAGCCCCTTTATCTAACATGGGCCTGAGATATCACACAAGATTAGTGTTGACAGCCGCCAGGTGGGGCCTGGGGATCTCCCGCTTTTACAACTGATCTCCAGATGCTAATGAGTTTCTGCTGTTGGGTGTGGCCTATTATGCTAATGAGTTCCTGCTGGGCTTTTTCTACAAAAAGAGCCCTGTTTGCTATTAAGACCAGTTTGGATGGTCACCCTATAATGAGCAGCCCCTTTATCTAATATGGGCCTGAGATATCACTCAAGATATGATATGACACAAGAGATCCAGAGTCTCTTACCATTTTTTTAAAAGTTTCCCATGGTAATATTTATGCTTCCGACTCATATCTGCTCTGTATTAGGAGTGGGGGAGAAGAACAGGTAATTTTTCATTTCTGCTTTCACTAATAATTTCACAAAGTTTGAGTCCAGTGGCCCTTCTGCTGCTTCTGACCAATGCGGCGACCCACCTGAATCTAATAATATTTGTGATTTTTTTTTAAACTTAAGGGATTTATGCTTTTTGACTAATGCTCTTTAGTTCACGGTCTGATTTTTAGGTATTAATTTATGTCTAGTTTTATCTGATTGTGCCAAGAATTCCCTTCATCCCTCCTTTTCTGTTCTCTTTTTACACTGTATAATGTGCACCAGTTGTTTATGCCAGTCTTCGAAAAGTTTGGCAGTATTTTAGTCACACAAAAAACCTTTTGATGTTTTCTGGCACTCTCTTTTGTGTTGTTTTGTGTCCCCCCCCCGCCCTTCCTTTCTTGGACGAGCCTTTATAACTAGGATTCAAGACTCAGTTCTAGGGCCAAGTTGGACATGGTAATTATTTGCATGAAATCCTGCAGCATTAGGCTGAAGTCTACAGCCACTTTGTGAAGAGTAGTCTTAGTGAAATGCCTGACAATCTAGGCTTTGTCATTCTCCTTTTTGCGGTTCAGACTACAAATGCATACTTCAGTGTGCTACATTACTAAATAGGTCTACAGGGACATTCCCTTCCTGCATGTGCAAAGTTCATTTAAATATAAATAAGGCAGAAAATTGTTATTAGTTAACAAGGGGAAATAATAACTAATTGACCTTGAGTCCGATCCAGCAGAGCAGTTGTTCTGTTCTTAACGTATAATATACTACATGAAGCTTTGCACATTTATTAGGGAGTGATCAGTGGGACTTGCCAAATAATCAAGTCTAGGATCAGGCCTCAGAAACACTAAGAGAATTCAAATGCTCTGCCTAAAATCCCCCAGTTGGACTCCAGAAGTCACTTTGAATTGGAAGCTTCCCCTGAATTCCTGGAAGGGGCTCAGACTCACACTATGGTGTATGCCAGGTATGTCCAACAGGTAGATCGTGATCTACCAGTAGATCGCGGAGGGGTCAGAGGTAGATCACCAGCCCCACTTGGTCTCCTGGTTTGCTGGACAGGTGCTTGGGGTTTTTTTATGATTGTTAGGTGGTAAAAAATGTTCACAGTTCTTTCTCTCTGTTTTGTTTTTGCTTATTTTGCTTACCAGTAAATGACGCTGAACTGCAGGCTGCGGAAGGTCGGTAGTTCAGCAGTTCGAGACCCGAGTGTGCCGCATGACGGAGTGAGCTCCCGTCTCTAGTTCCAGCTCCTGCCAACCTAGCAGTTCGAAAGCAAGACATTGCAAGTAGATAAATAGGTACCACTTCCAGTGTCCTTTTCAGAGGCGGGTGGGGTAGATCACAAAGCAGTTTGGGGAGGGTGCAAAATTCCCAGCAGAACGCAGAGTAGGGATTGTCAGATTCCCTCTGCTCAGCGGCATGAGATAGGGTTGCCAGATCCAGTTGGGGAGACCCTGGATCTCCCGCTTTTACAACTGCTCTCCAGGCGACAGAGATCAGCTCCCCTGGAGAAAAGGGCTGCTTTGGAGAAGGGACTCCGTGGGATTGGACCATGCCGAGGCCCCTCCCCTCCCCAAACCCCGCCCTCTCCCAGGCTCCACCCCCAAAGTCTCCAGGTATTTCCCAACCCAGACCTGGCAATCATATTTCTCCAAGAGAACTGATCTCTGTAGTCTGGAGATGAGCTGTAGTTCTGGGGGTATCCCCAGGTCCCACCTGGAGGCCGGCATCCCTAACAAAGGACTGCTCTCGCCTATTCCCAGAATAGTGCATTTAAGTGCATTCGTTGTAGTTATTTCTGTGCCGTTGCCTTTTAGAATCGCAGCCCGGATCACGGCTACACAGCAGTCACTCTTATAACCCACAGACGAGCCGCAGTTGGTTTCTTTGTTAGGGGGCTCATGTCCTGCCTTCTCCCTTCATGCAAGGTAGCTTGCCGCGGAATCCGTGAATAGCCAATAAAACATCACAGTTAATAAAGCCATTCAATAATTAAAGCTTCAGTGGCTGTGTGCCAAATGTTTAAACGATTTCCTATGTGCTGATAACAGCCATAGGCCTGACTAGTTGTGCGCCTCACACACACGCACACACACACACACACCCGCACACATGCAGAGCACAATAGAAAACTTCTTGATTTGGGAAAGGCTTCGCTCAAACTCCAATTTGCTGTAATGTCTGAGTGCAGCTGCTGCAGGCAAATTTGAATTGGCTACTTCCGGAGGGTTCAAAACCGCTTTGCCCAGGGACCTTCTTCAGGACTTCTGGGCAAATTGCAACAGGAAACTTGCAGTCACACTTCCATGTGTGTGTGTGTGACGCACATGGGCGTGGCAAAAAGCCATACTTGTATACATCTCGAATCAACCAAAGTTTGTCAAGGCGTTTGGATTACAGGCCCTCAGTAGGGTTGCCAAGTCCATCTTCCACCCCCAGCGGGGGACTTTGGGGGCGTTCCTGGAGGGGGAGGGGCATCCCCAACATGATGACATCACGCTGGGGATGTCCCCCCACCCACCCGCCCGATCTTCCAGCAGCACCGGCTGCCTGCACTTAAAGGGGCCCCTTTAAGTGCACAGGCCGGTGTTTCCTGCGCCCGATCTCCGTGGCCCACAGCCACCCCTCTTGAGAGAGAGGAGGGAGAGGGGTGGCTGCGGGTGTTGGGGCTTGGGGGCGGGGCTTCCCCAGCGGCCAGCTGGCCAGCGGCGAGTAAAAGCCCCCCCAAAGCGGGGGACCCCTGCCAAACCAGGGGGGTTGGCAACCCTAGACTAATGTCACAGAATGACACTGAAGTGATTGCTTGGCAAGCTGGGCTCTAACTGGATTCAGTTACCTGGAAGCCTGCCACAGAGGTGACACCATGTCCCCCGTAAACGTCCCTACCTTTTATGTATCACTTATTATTATGCTGTGCAATGCTACTTGATTGCTTGGATTTGCTTATCAAATGCCATTTTCTACCTTCTCTGCCTGTAAAATGGGGGGGGGTACTTCCTCCTATCCATCAAACACCTGGCAGAGAGGGCCCCCTTGTTCAAGGGCTATGTTACCCAAGAATTTCATACTCATCGGATGGAGAAAGAAAACTTACAGCTTAAAAACAATACTTCCTGTCGAACCAATGGAAATAAAAATTAAAT